TCAGACTGCAGTTCTGCTGCTGACTTACTGTGTGCCAGTGACGTCACCTCCTGCAGCCTCAATTTCTTCATTTGTAAATTAATAACTCATGCCCCTCCAGCCTCAGGGCAATGCTGCCAGGGTTGAGCAAGTAAACGATCGAAAGTGCTCTGAAATGTGGGGACCATAGAGTTACAGAGACAGCAGAGTGATGGGGGAAAGCCTACGTCTGGTGTCAAAACCAGACTGCAATTCCCCCTCTCCTTAGCTGAAGACCCCTAAGTCCTCAGAGGAGGCTGCATCCAAACTCCTTCACTGTAAAAGGGTAACAATGAAGATACTTGCTCTAAACTCTCATGTTACTGTGAGGATCAACGATGCATATGGAAGTGATCTAAAAGTAGCAGAGTGCTGCTCCAGAGTGAGGCATCATGGGAGTGCTGCTCTGTCCAAAACGAGGGAGGCCAAGTTGAGCCAAGCACAGGCCACCTCCTCTCCTTTCTGTGCTCTGCCTGCCTAAGAGCCTTGCTCCCACCAGGTCAGGCCTCTCCTGCTCCAAGCCAAGGGACGAGGTTGGGGCAGAAACGGGGTCACCAAATGGGTCAAGACAACCTGTTCTGATGCCAGAACAAGACACCAAACCCACTGGGGCCACACAGCCAGGACCTTGGGGCACTGTCACTTCCAGGAAGTCCATGTGCTTCTGTGACATGCCCCCTGGGCTGTAGGATCTGGCTCTAGGTGGCTCCTCAGTGCAGCAGAGAGCAGCATGAGGAGCACGGCCCCCGGCATCCAGACCCCAGCCCTGCTCCTGGCTTTGCTGCTCACGGAGTCATACAGCAGGTGTTCCCTGGACGCCAGGGAAATGAGGGCTAGAGAGACGGCTAAGACCGGGCGGGCCATCACCTATACCAGAATCTTATATGCATCACTTTTAATCTACACAATTACCCTAAGAGTTTTTATTACCTCCTTTAGAGACAAAAAACAAAATCAAGGTAAAGAAAGTTAACATGCCCCAAACACACACCTAACAAGAGACAGAGCAGGGGTTTGAACACAGATCTGAGTAACTCTAAAGCTGGGCTCTCAACCATTACATTTTATATTGTCTTCTGATCTGATACTCTCCAATAAAATTGCTGTTATTCTAGAAAACGTCTTTTCCTTCAGGAGCCCAGGATAAGGGGAGATGGGGAAGTCGGAGAGGCCACCACACTTCCCAGAGCTGCATGGGTGGGGGACCACCCTTGCACACCCGTGTCAGGTGCTGCGCCGGGCTCAGCTGCCCCACGGGTGCTCAGGCAGGACCTGCGGCTGTCCTCTGCGTGCTAAGGAGGAGCCCAGATTGAGCTGACAAGGGTCGACCAAGGACAGGTGAAACTGTGAGGGGCATCACGGGTCCCCAAAAGTGACAGTTCCTAGGCCACAATCTAGTCCCCAAAACAGGCAAAGGACACAACTCTTGCTGCCACTGGACACATTTCCAGCTGATAAAAGCAGGGTTTTAGGCCTGGCTGTCTGTCTCAGGCAGGATGGACAGAGAAGAGAAAGGTGAGAAAAGGTCTGTGACAACAGTCCAGGTGGCACAGACCAGGCGGCTTAGGGACTGGGAAGTATGGCTGATCAGGTAGGCACTTTCTGGCTAACTGGGTTATTAAGTGCTTGAATGTGGCTTGGTGTTTAAGAGCAAACTCTGGAGTCAGGCAGCCGGGGATCTCACCCAGCTGTGCTGCTCACTGGCCACGGAACTCGTCAAGTGGCTCCTCCGGGGTAGGTTTCCTTGCCTGTGACTTGGGGTGACAGCACCTACATCAAGGTGTTGGTGAAGTAAGAATTACATAAAACTCTTCGACCAGTGTCCAACATGTGGTAAGCACTTAATAACACTGATTACTAATTATGAGGCTACTTCTTAAAAACATTAACCCCCTCCAACCCCATGAAAAAGACAAAAATAAAAAAACATACATTTGTAGGTATTTAGGTCTTGTGTTTGGACTGGCAGGATGTTGGTACCCGTTTCTCATATGTAATCCTTGCTTGGCCAACCAGGTTAACAGTCCCCGAGGAGCAGGCATCACACACTATTTTAGACTGAGATGGCCCCAACCTCTACAGCATCGCATGGAACAAAGCATCATTAGGACCTCGGAAACTCCAGAACTTCTGGTCTAAAAGACACCTGATGTGCCAGGCTAACTGTGTGTGTGTGTGTGTGCGCGCAAACAAGAAGGATAACACACAGTTCTTGTCCTTGAAAGGGTCACAGTTTAGTGAGGGAGGATCTTAAGTCATCCTGTGACAATCTAATAATCCCATGCTCCCAAACCCGCACGCGCTCTCACCTGACATCTCGCTCACCCCCACAGTCATGCCTGCATGCACACTTCGCTTCACTTCCCTGGCTCACAGGCAGCTCTAGCCCTGGCCTCTCTGGAAATGCTGGCTCTGGTCTGGACCCTGTGTGGAGCACAGAGGTTTCAACCTTAAATGGAGTGAAAAGCTGTTCGGTCCTGTGCCAGCCCCATGGGCCCCTTTCCCCACCCCACCCCCCGCCCATTTTTATCAGACCCTCCTGATGGCAGGTCTATGAAATCTCCCCTGGAGGGGACCGTGGGTCCCTGGACTGACCTTGTCCTGATGTGTTTGATCAGCTGTTTCTGGCCTGCGCTGGGGGAACCAGTGCAAGAGGAGCCAGCAGGAGTGGTGTTTGATCAGAGCAGCTGGGGAGCTCTGGGCTGGGCTAGCTGCAGTTAGCCTTCTGCTAATCTCTCCTCGGAGGACAAAGAAAGGAGGATGTTCTGACAGCCCAGCCCATAGGTAACTTGGGGAAGGCTCGCTGGCGGGGTTGGGGGAGGTGGAAGATGGGTTCGGCCCCAGCCGCACGAGGGCCCACATGAGGGGCACTGCTGGCTCCCGGCCGAGCAGCAGCATCTCCTGAGCACCTGAGCTCAGTGTCTGGTGCCAAGTCTGGGGAGGAGATAACAAGTGTCTTACTGAACATGGGCCCTACGCTCTAGCAGCCCTGCGTGACAGGGCAGAAGAAAGGACACAAAAAGCCTGGAGGACACTCACAAGATGAGCTCGGCCTCTATGCTCATGTCCTAGATCCTCTCTTCTCAGTGGAACCTGGAGCCCTGGGGTGTTTCCCAACAAAGGGAGGAGACTCCTGGTCTAGGACAAGTCCATGTGGAGCCATAAGGTACTTCTCTTTTTTCACCAAACACACACCCGAGTACAAGCTCTTGGAGGGTGAGATAAACCATGAATAACACAAAAGCTCCAGAGGCAGGGTGGGAAGGCGGGAAGTCGCCACATACTCAGTGTTTCCATCTCCCTCGCTCTCACTGGATGTGCTCCCACCTGACACCCGGTCTGTGCTATTGCTCAGACACGACCCCTCGGCTGTGTTGCCGAGGAACCAACTCCGAGAGTCTGGGCTCCAACCTGGGAGGTCGGTCCCTTTGCTGTCACCGTTCACCCTGGTCTGGGGCAGAGGCTCGGGTTCACTGTATGAGCTCCATCTTACCTCGGTCAGGGGCTCCTCTGCCCTCCACTCCAGACCCTCTATCTCAGATACATTGGGCATCCTCCTTTCCTGCCCACATCTGCCCTCTCCCCCAGGTTCTTTTAAAGTATAAGAAACATTAACAGGCACCATTTACAAAGCATTCATAGTCTGTTAGACATTTCACAAATGTTGACTTTCCTCCTCATAGTCATTGTTAGGAATGACAGCCCAAGATCACAGTCCACTCAGAGGTGGGGCTGGGGAGCTCCCGAGTCCATGGCCTTTCCACTGTGCTGCTCTGCCTCTTGCAGAACCCCGCCCCGGCCCCTGGCCCCCCGCCCCGGCCTGAGATAACTACACCACCAGGGAATCACTCGGCCCATTTGCTACCTCTGCTCAACCACTCCTGACCCGGAGCAGCACTTCACCTCTGTGCACATTCACCTTCATGGCTGGAGCCCAGCCGCATGTTAGAATTACCCCTTGCAGCTGCCTGGGACTCTCAGGATTACTGCCCCAGATATGACAGACAACTCGAGCTTCTCTCTCCAAAGGCACTGCTTGGGCAGAAGGGCACTGCTTCAAAGGACCCTGTGGGCTCCGGGCAGAGGTCAATTCGTGCTACTCCAGGACTGTCCCAGGTGAAGTGAGCACAGAACCACCTCCACCCCTGCTTTCCCAACCTCAGGGCAGACCTGAGCTTAGGGGGCTGCAGGGTGTGATGATCCTCCCACCCCCGCCACCTTACACGCGGGACTCTCATTGCAGAAATTATGTACATCCTATCCGTGTGTCTGCCTCTCTTGTTTCCTTGTTGGCTGCCAGCAACATGCCATTTTCAGCTGTTTACCACGAAAGGTTTCTCTTTATTTTATAGTTATCTACTCAGCACTTTGTGCTCTGGGGGCAGTTGAGATTCAGGAGATAAATGAAAAGTGGTCAGTGTTATAAAGATCCCTAAGGTTTCAGAGAGAGGGAGGAAGAGGAGAGACAAGTAAAGGCACAGGAATGAACATTCTCCCCAGTACTAGACGGTGCAGGGAATGGCTGACCTGTATATGAAGGACTTTATTGATAACAACTAAAATGTTCAACACCAGATTCATTAAATCCAGGCTTTTAGTTAGTACCACAATTCCGTGTGGTAAATACAATAATTTCGTCTATTTGTGGATGGGAGCTGGGAGGAAGGCACTCAGAGAGGGTAAGTATCTCACCAAGGTCACACAGTCACAAAGTGGCATAGCTGGGATGTACCCGGGTTGGACACCAAGGACTGTCTCTGAAAACCTGCACCACGTTCGTTGCCTGGGAACGAGGGTTTAGAAAATGAGACTTCACATGACAGGAGAGCTTTTTATCCTCCCCAGGCCATGCTAGTATGGCCCAAGGGTATACAGTAGCCCCTAGGAAATCAGGCCTCTCAAGCCTGGTCCCATCCGACAGCTGCCCAGAACCTAAGAGAAAACAGGTCTATGTCATCAGTCCATTTGAAACTCATGCAGCATTAGTTTTTGCAAAGTACATATTTTATTTATACAGAGTAGTGCAAGTTGAACACGAATAATGGTCTGTAGTCCAGTTTACACAGCACCGTGTGCTGGCTAGCTGTCCTGACCATGGGTGGCAGCAGGTGTGGCTGGCCTTTGTTAAGGGAAACGATAAAACATTTCTACCATCTGGAAGCATCTAAATTAGCTTTATGGATAATCCGCTCCCCCCCAACAATGTAATCCCCATAGCACAGCAGCTTCCCCATCTCACGGGCTGAGTCATAGGAGCAGCAAGTGCCTGAGCTCTGGCTGTGCTTCTGAGCTCCTGGCCCAAGTGCCACCAGCTCCAAGGCTTTCCATAGCACCAAAACACTCCCTTCAGCCGCAAATCTTTCTTTCACTCCCTTTGTCTCCCCACCTCCCAAGCAAGCCTGCAATGCACTGGGCCAAGTGCAGCAGGGCTGGGGCTGCTGAATTCTACCTTTGGGAGCATTATTTTCTCCATCGTCCAACTTTCTTGTCCCAATTTAACAGAAATATTGCTTGTCCCCTAGAACCATTCTATGTAAGGCTGGCAGTTCCTCCATCCCTTGGTCAGTTCACAGATCTCAGGCACATGAAATGTAAAGGCACCCCCTACCTGACACACACACATCAGTAAGTCATCAGCCTATGGGGACCACAGTGTCTCCTGGGCTGAGGGAAACTCTTTGGGCCCATCACATCTTTCTCCACAATTTAGACCCTGAGCAGAGAACAGAGTCCTCGTCCCTCCAGTCACACTTGTTGGACTAGGTCTGTTTCATCCTCAGCCCCTGACTACCAGGGCTCCTCCCTGGGGCATGGGGCTGACGTGCGTTCCTAGGCTGTGGGAGGGGAGACTCAGAGGGGACCTGAACGACCAGGGGAGCCGAGAATTCACACTGCAGACCGTGGTACTCCCTGGGTTCAGTGTTTTCCAAACATAAAGCTTCTGAAACAGAAGAGTAAGGCTTTATATAATAAATGAGTAAAGACCCTTGTCTCTGCCCCTTTGCTGCCCATCTAGTTCCAGGTGTTCTGCTCACATCCTTGGACAGCCCTGTCTTCCCATGGCAATCCTTGCTGTTGAGTCATCTGTTTGCTGTCTGTCTGACTTACCTGGGATGGGCAAATGCTATTCCATAAATGGTCTCTATTATTCTCATGGAATGAGACTCCAGCTTGGAATCTGCCTGCCTTTTCCTCCTCACCAGCTGCTTCATAAGCTCTGGGGCAGAGAAGGATTGGGGCCCCACTGAACAAGTCCAGCTGTTACAAGAAGCCATAGACTCCTCCACGCCATTGCAAGTGCCCCCGGGTTCAGTCCTGAGGCCAGAAGGGCAGCACCCATGGCAATAAGGCAAAGAGACCGCCACTGCCACATGAAAGCAAGTGACACGGACAAGGGGACCACGATAAACAATGCCCTCTGTGGGAGCAGTTCAGGTCTCTTGGGCAGAAGTGGGAGAAAAGAATAAAATGACCAAGCGGAGCTAGAAAAAGTCCTTCTACAATAAAATCCACGTGTGGGCGTCTCTAGGGAGCAACACTGTGAAATCATGGCCAGTGTGGCATCTTGCAGAGGTCCGCTGGGAGCAAAGCTAAACTCAGGACAGACCTCTCCCTCACTGTGGACTAGACCCAGCCCAGGGCTCATGCCTCCCGCCGGCTGTGCCTGAGGGGAGGGTGGAGAGCGCAGCTGGTAGCCGCTCCCTCTCTGTGCTCTCGGCAAAGCGACTTGTGAGTCTGGTGACTATGAAGAAAACGAGTGTCCCGCCACAATCTGGGTCTCCGTGGGAAACCTGAGAAGGGTTTCTCAGTACTTGAAAGAATCTGAAAGTTGGGTTTAAAGCTTACAGACTTCTTTATTCAGAAGACTCTTCAAAAAGAAAAATCACTTTCCCCCATAGGACCTCAGCAACTAATTTTTAAGTGTATTTTGTTTCTTGGCTGGAAGAAGCTCTGACGGTGCTGCGATTCCCAGCCACCATGGCCTGTGTGGAGCTGCACCCTCACCTGTTGGGCTTGGCCTCCGCGCCCTGCGAGCATGGCCACTCCATTCTCCTTCTGTGGGTCTTATCTGGTGCCAGGGGGAGATTCAGTGCCACTGCATCACTTGCAGATCAGCAGCTCTCCTGGTCTGACAGCTCCCAGGACTGAAAAATCTTAAGACAGAGACAGCCTTGGCAGAAGCAGTGAGGGCCTCACAGGGAGGCAAAGTCTTAAAGGTTTGAGCACCATCTTCTGGTCAGTTATTGGCTTTTGAGGCCAATTTGCCTGTGAAAACTTCATGTACTTCAGAATGGGAAGAGCCCTGAGGTGACAAGCTCTAGTGATGTGCATATCAAAACAAGCACACTACTGGGGCAGGAGTAGCTGCTGGGAGAGCTGGCCCTGCTGCCTACAGGAAGCAGGAGGGCCAGCCAGAGGACATACTGCCAGAGTTAAGGATCCACCCCCCCCTTCCAGCAGAGCGTGGTGGTAATAAAAATACCGACCACGACCCAGATCAACTCCCTCTCCTGCTTGGACCTGGTGATGTGAGGTGTGCTTAGAAAGAAGGGGTGAGCTTGTCTTCTGCCAGCCTGTATTTTGAGGGTGACTGGTCAAACGGGCACTGCGCTCTGTAGGGGCCAACCATACAATGTGGCAGGGAGCCGTGCTTGGTGTGTAAACACTGCACTAGCAGACTTCAACCTTCTGGCATCAAGGAAAGGAAGATAAATGCTAGTCATTCCCTCCAAACGGCGGGAACCTACATCCCTCTAATTGCACTTCATAATGGATTCCATAAACCATTAATTATCAGATTATATTTTAGGAACCGAAGATAAAAAAGCTTTGTGAAATTCAGACTCCAGAGGATCACTGACCTGCAGTAACAGTGGAGCCTGGAAGAGCTCAGACAGCAGGTCACTCACAAGGCATGGAAGATCGTGGCAGGAGAAGAGCCAGGGGCCATCACGGGCGCCCCCCCAACTCCAGCCGGCGCTGGTTCACTGGCTATGTTACATGTATTACATGACCCAGAGGGAGGAGGCGAGGCCTCCAGGCCAGGTAGAAGTTTCAGGCTTTGATTAGGGACAGGGGATGAGGACAACATAGAAAAGCTGTGGGAACCAGCCTCAGGTGAAGAACACCATGAAGAATTTCCTGGAAAGGCAGAGATGGTTTGCAGCTAGATGGCCTCACACTGAACACTTTCAGCAGAAATACTCCAAAGGCTTCGCTGTGGGAAGGGGACTCAGCATGTAGATGAAGCCCTCCTGTGCTAACATGCTGCCACTTGTCCTACTGCCAACATGGGGGGCGGGTGCTGGAAGGATGATAGAAGTGAGGAAAGGCCAAGTGTGCTCAAGCCTGGGGGTCCCAGGATGGTCTGTCGGTGCTTTTCTCTCATTTTAAAAAATGGCCAGAAGGCACCGGCAGCGTCTGCAGCCTCGCTCTGTGGGCCACGGTCTGCACCCTGAGGGCTGCCGGCAGCTCACACCTCTCTGGTTACTCTGGTCACCAGCTCCTATCCCTCTGCTCTTTCAGACCCTATTTCAGAGGCTACACTCCACTTGGAGATGAACAGTCAGAGGCCGCAGCAGCAGGCCTGTGGGGAATAGATCTGCCTGCTTTGGAGGGCAGTCGTGTTGATGTTGATGCAGATGTGGGTTTTATAACAATGATGCTTCTGTTTTCCAAGTGAGACCATTCTGGCTGGTGCTAGGCTGAGATGCTCAGTACTCAGGTCAGCCAGGGAGGAAGGGTGGAGCTGTTCTCTCTGCTGCAAACGCAGGACCCTCCACAATGAGCAGCCACTCACTTGGCCTCCCCGCAGATCAGGGTCACCGTACCGTCCAGCAAGTCCTCCACGGTCACCGCCACCAGCTCAGAGCTGGTCTGAGATGTCTGTGAATCTGGCAATGTCACAAACACCTGCGAACCAGCAAGCTGGGTCTCCTCCAAAGTGATCACCTGCTCCGCTGGGGCCACTGGCTCTGGGGTTTCGATCACCTGAAAGAGAAAGACCATGAGGCTGCTCTGGGCAGTGTCCACAGCTGGCTCCCCAGAATTTACATGGTTTTCATCTCATGCTGTAATGATGGTATTTATGTTCTCACCTGAGGAGAGCAATTACATGTGCCTAATGGGAAGAGGCAAGCTAACACACCAGTGATGCAAAAGAGAAGGCAGGCAAACAATTTAAATAACTGTGTGCTAAATTGCTATAATTTAGCTCAGTACGCTGTCTCAGGGCGCCCGGACTCTATGATTACACACCGGTGAACGCGGGCTCAGTTTCTCACACTGGGTTTTCTTGTCTTGAGGATTACACCGCAGAGGGAAGTGCTGTGTGAAAGGAATGCCACTGAAAGTGGTGAGTCTCCTGCTTGAACCATGAGGATGGGAATGGTTTACCAGAAGCTTGAGCCTGCCAAAGGTGGCATGTCTGGACCTCGATTAGGCTAAGAGCCTTACCTGGGGGGCTACATGGCTACAGAGCTAATGGCCACGGGAGGAAGAACGTGGGCAGGACGTGGCGTCTATCAGCTCACTCATGCGGCTCACCAGGCTGGAGGGCAGGCAGCGGCTTCTCTCCTCTGAATCTGCGTCATCTGTTAAAGATGACCTTCCCATCTCCCATCAGGGAGAACTAGTCCATGGTTAAGTGCACTCAGTTCCTGCCTGAACCTCCAAGTTGATGCTACTGAGCCATGGAACTCAGGACAGCTGGATGCTGTCAACCAGAGAGCCCACGGTGGGTGCGGCCACCCTGGTTCCTGCGAACCGGCCGAGAGTGGAAAGCGCGCTCCACTAGACCTGGGTGGGCAGGCGTGGGGATGCCAGGCTCAGCCATGTCTGTGCTGCGGGAGCGAAGAGGCCAGTTGTGATGTTCAATCAAATGTTGTCTAGGATAGCAGTTTTCGAACTGTTTTTCTTGTAGCAATAGAATCTTTTTTATTCCCCCAAAGGACAGCTTACCAAGAATTCTGATACATAAAAAAGATGAAAGCAGAGCTGTTCTCACTGACATGGCAGCAGGAGGAGTACCCAGAGGCCTGTAAGAACATGGCTGTAAGGGACGGCTCCGTGGGACAGGACAGTGGGGTGGCCCAGTCGGTTATGGTCCCTCTCTAGTCTACCCACAAATTTCTATTAATCGACAGAACTGAATTTCTTATCCTCTCCTGCCCACTCACTCTGGAGAAGACAGGAAAAGGAGCTAGAGAACCAGAGACACAAAGAGGGGCTAGAGCAAGCATAGCTGTTAAACTTCAGAAGAGGCGGGCCTTTCATCCAGGTAAAGGGGAGAGGCCCCGACACTCAAATGTGCCCAGCCCAGAGGAGCTATTAGAATCTTTCCACTGAAGGTGGTCCCAACAAAGAGCCCATCCACCCATCTCCGAGGTTCCCTGCAACCCTCACTACATCCCATAATGTTTCGCAGGTGGGGAAGCATGAGAATTGGGAGGAGAAGCCAAGGTCATTCTGCTTTTGGAAATTCTTGTTCCAGCCTCCCTCTACCCAGGGGCCACCGTGTGACCACCAGGAGGCCAGGATTTCCTGTTCTGTTTGGTAAGAGGTCCAGAGAGACTCTTCCGCAAGACTCTCTCAGTCACGAGTGCATCGCTCACAGGGCCTTTGAGATCCCCAGAGAGAAAGGCTGGATGTTGTGGCAGAGCTGCCTCTAGGAGCCCCGTGTTAGCACCCTCATATCTGACAGTCCCAGAATCACCTGCACCACCTGTGAGGCGGCTGCTCGGGTTTCAGTGCCCGTCACCTTTGGGTGTTCAGATTCCAAGTGGCTGTCCAGCTGAGCCTGGGAGGTGAAGAGCTCCCCACAGAGCTCACAGGGGAAGGTGCTCTCCGACTGCTTGAAGTGCTCGGTGGTGACGTGGTGCTGCAGTGCTCCCGGGAAGCGGAAAGTAGCCGCACAGTACAAGCAGCGGAATGGCTGCGACCCTGGAGGAGGGGACACAGATGGGACTCGCTGAAAGAAATGAGAGCAGGGCAGGGAGAGGAGGGAGCCAAGAGGATTGAGGCGTTCGGGCAGATCCAGAGCCAGAGCTTCAGCTTCTGTGGGGCCTGAAGCTTGCATAATTTGGGGAGCCCGCCTTAGGAAAAATAATACTAAATTACACACACAGGATTAGGGGTAGAGCTTTGGAAGGGTCCTATCAAGTGAGAGGCCCCAAAGCCACAGCTTCATCAGCATCAGATTCAGGCTAAATCTGGCTCTACCAAAGCCCATTTTTCATTCAAGTGTAATGATGCTGACAATGCCTATTTCTAAGAAAAGCACATTTCAACATCTCTGAAATGGGATCAATGGCGTCTTACTACTGCTACGGGCCAGGTGGAGTCTGGGTGTAGTTGTCAACACTGCACGTGCGTGAACACCTAAAGAGGCAGCACTACGACTTGCAGGATGCAAGTCCCCAGCTCTAAAGAAAAGCCCTGAGACAGGAGCGGTGCATGTTTTTAACTCACGGGAACTAAATGGCTTAGGGGGGAGGCGGCAAGGGTTGGCTGCTCAGTACTTTCCCAAAGTGGGAAGCAGAGACCAGTTTTACGTGATGCTCAGGAGACCAAACCCACTGGCCTCACTACGCGCTCCGCCACCAGTGCTCCTGATGACTGAGCACAACGCCGCGTGGGGTAACACGCATGCCAACAACCTGAACTGAGGGCTACTCTGAGGAGCTGGATTCTAACCTTAATCAACTGATGCCCCCTTTTCTGAATACATACAACAGTGTGTAAAATCTATGTCAAATTAAGTCCAAAACAGCACTTAGGATAACCTGCAAATTCTAGGTAATAAGAAAGCACGGTTTAACTGGCAGCAGTTTTTCTTCTTAATGGTTCGTTAAAATGGTGCCTCTCGTGAGCGGCACTTTAGACTTGATGAGCTGTAACAGGAGTGATGATCATCACAGGCAAGAGGTGCTCACTGGCGCCTGGCCACGTTTCCTGTGCAGTAACATGCCCAGTTCTCAGTTACCCTAGGAAGTAGACACAACTGTCCCTGACTTGCAGATGAGGAAACTGAGGCAGGAGTTAGTGTTACTTAGCCTGGGTTGCAGAGCTGGCAGCAGTGCAGATGAGACCCCCTGCTGGGCGCCCCAGCCTGGGCGTCTGGGAAGGGCACTGACCTGAATGCTGGCACTTGATGTGGACCTGCAGCAGAGCCGGCGTGGGGAAGAGCTCCTTACACTGGTCACACTCGTGGAACTTCATATCTGCGAAGCACATGAGGACAAAAGTGGTGGGAAAGAACAAAAGAAAGGCTCTCTGAGTCTGGGGAGTAACAGGGCTAGGGGGCAGGATGGTGGCTCACACTTAGCAAGCATCTGCCAAGTGCCAGGAGCCTCATAGCCACGACACAGTAGCGCAATCTGCGGTAAAGAGCACAGATCTGGATCCAGAATGCCTGGATGCAAAGAGGACTGTCGTGAGAATTAAATGAGAAAACACTCATGTGGTGCTTAGTGTAGCGCCCTGCACTGGGGAAGCGCTTCCTAACTGCAAGCTGTTGTCATTATCCCCCAGTTTACCTGCAAGGTAAGTATGAATAGTTGACTTTCTGAAGAGAAGGAAACAGGCTGTGGAGTCAGGATTTCCGCCCTGGCCTGTGCCACCCTTCCCCGTGCCACGACCCAGGGCTGGTGGGAGCCCCACAGCTCCAGGTCTCCATGTCAGAACCAGTGCCAGTCAAGCTAGTGTTACTGGTGGGCTGATGTGGCGTTCTCAGGTGTGCTGGGTGGAACAGGTACTTACCACTGCAAATCGACTGTAGCACTGGAAGTCAGGACTTGGGGACAGAATCTAGGATGCTATGTCACCAAACCCCTCCCACTTATCAGCTCCCACTCCCTGTCCAGGGCTCCCCAACTTCACCTGCGTGCTCTGCTTTGATGTGCTTCTTGTGTTCAATGGTATTGGAAAAGGTTTTGTCACAGGAGCTGCACTGCAATGATGAGAACTTGGAAGACCGATGGTTCTGAGCAGCAAACACATCAGGGTGGTGGGTCCGATTGTGGTACCATAGACCAGACAATTGCTGAAAGGAATGTGCCGAAGGTTAGGTCTCAGATGCTCCAGTGAGTCGGAGAGTGGGCAAGACCTCAAGAGCGAGAAGAGCGTTCCCAGGGGAGCTTATGGATCTGGAACCACCCTCTTACCTACCACAGTGAGTGCTGACACGAGACAGGGGGGTGGGTGTTCACGGGAACAAGGCACCCATGTCCCTACTGAAGCCACTACAGAGCAGGGCTGAGTCCTCCAGAAACCCAGTCCTCATGAGCAGCCTAGGAGGGAGGTGTTAGGATCTTCCCAGTGAGGTGGAAGCTGAGGCACTGAGGGGTTAAATGACTTGCCCAAGGTCACACGATTAGTAAACAGCAGGACCAGGATTCAAACCCTGGCCTTCCAATGAAAATCTGTCTTTCACCACCAAGCTGTCTCACTGCCTCTCAGAGGCCCAGGGCGCAACAGAGGGACCTGCTGAGAGGGGCATGTGCTGTCCCTGCTCCATAAGCAAATGTCCCCCTCCTCCTGATTCCACAGCAGCACTGATACACTCTCCCTACAAGTCCACGGTTTCCTAGAGACCAAGCCCAGGTCTTACTCAGCTCTGTAACCCTAATGTCACAGCACAAGGCTTGGCGCAAAGTTAGCTCTGTTTTTGTTGAACTGAAGTTAGGTGCTGGGCTTCTCTGTCTGTGCCTGAATGTTAGCGATCCCAGCAAGAGCCCTTCTCTTCTCTGTGGTTTTAGAGTTTCTCACAAAAGTGATTTCTTTTTAGATCTATATGGGGTTTCACTTTATTTACATACCAAACGCTATGGGAAAAAAAAGCAGAGTTCTTCCCCAGGAGTTAAAAAAACTCACAAAACACCAATAATTGTGCTGAACAAGATTAATTCCAGGCAGTGTTATACACCCCATTGTCATTCCCACATCCTTCGACACATGGATCAATAGGTTCTAAAGAATGTGAGTACCCAAGGGGACAAGCAGCTTCAGTCCAGGACAAGGCTGAGCTCTAAGAGAAGTGCAAGACCTCTCCACTCCAATCAAAGCTCTGCCACTGCGTCACTCTGACCGGGCCACTGCATCACTCTGATCGGGTCACCGCAGAGCATCTGAGTAACTTACAAGCTGCATTCTTCATGAGAACCAGCCAAATGGTCAAATCCTGGAGACAAGATGTGCCCTGCAAGCCACACACGTGGAGGCCAAGGAAGACCAAAGGGAGAGTGGGTCAAGGACCCACCTGGGGGAGGAGCTCCTGCAGAACCTGAGCTCGCTCACCTGGTAGGCCTTGTTGCAGATCCCGCAGCTGAAAGGCTTCCCTCCCACGTGGGTCACCATGTGCCGCTCCAGCATGGAGGGGGCGCTGAAGATCTTCCCGCATGTGGGGCAGGGGTGGTACTCCTTGGAGTGCACCTCGTGGATGTGCTTGCGGTGGTCCTGCAGAGTTGGGAAGCTCATCCTGCACTTCTTGCAGTCATAGGGATCTTCTATGTCTGGTTCCACGAGAGGAAAGGGGAGGGGGGACACCACAAGAGTCAGTCAGTGAGAAGTGGTTTGTTGGGTACAGCTCCAGAAGCAAGGCAGTTTAGAGGTCAGGTAGGGCCACAGACTCCCAGGACTGCATCCGTGGCTAACTACCCCACCTTCCTTCTGGGAGGTGGGACTCCTCTGAGGCTTCTGGATTAACCACTTCTGCAGCATCAGATAGTTTCCCTCAATCCCCCATTTTACATCTTACGAGTTACATTCTATTTCACTGCTTCCCACGGAGCATCATCCTTGCTCTTCTGCTTGCTCTGGAGTATTCTAATTCTCTATAGAGATTTCCAGCCTACTCCCCAGAGCTTCAGCATGACTACTGAGTGGTCAGTAGTACAATTCAGAGGAGGAGTGCCTCGATCCCACTTTATATTGAACAAGAACTTTCCCTAAGTAATGTTTAGTAAGTGCTATACGACAGTGCATATATTAACTCACTTACTCCTGCCAGTCCTGTTTCATAGATTAGGAAAGTCAAGGCTTAGAGAATGCCCAGTGTCACAAGTACAGTGTTGCTGCGCTGGTAACAATCCCAGTGTTCACTCCCAGGGCTATGTTCTGAGCTGCAGGCTTAACTGGACAAAGCAACTCGTCAGTGGGACCTCAGAAACAAGAACTAGCACTGATGAAGAATACAGTTGCCATCCCTGTGGCAGGAAACTTCCGTCTTTATCTGAAAGCAACAGAAACTGAAATGCTTTAATAATAAAATCCTTTGCCCACAAAAGAGGCTCAGCCCACAAGCCAATGTTATGCGCGCACTGACTCAGGTTAACTCAGGAATTCTGACATGCAGCAGCACTTGGCATCATTAACTAGTTTCCCTGTGGACACCAGCTCTTGAAATCTCGGTTTTGTAAGATCCTCTGATGCAGTTCTCCGTAAGCAATGATGAGCTCCTGTGAAATGGGCAAGGGACTGTCAGTCAGCAGGAGAGGCCCTGGGAGCTGGGCCTGCTTCAGATGACGTGCTTTAAGGCACAGCAAAGCATTTCAGGTCCTCTCCATTCTGAAAACTGGCAATGTCTTCTCTCTCCTGACTCCATGCAATGCTACTGGGAGAAGGAAACTGAAGCAGAATATCACTGAAAGAGGCTGAGGGGGTATCAAAGTTGTGGCACTGGACCCAAGCCAAATCTCACTCATCCGGAAGTCTACTGCAACTGGATTTTTTGGACAACCTCGCAAACTCCTTGCAGGGAGGGGCAGCACTTTATGTTTCTCCTGTTTTGCCCAGTGTCCAGCCACGTGCTGGGCACATAGAAGCTTTCGCCAAGTCCCTTGCTGGCGGGATGACAACAAGCTTGAAAGTGCTGACAGAAAGCACATGCTGGTGAGACACTGTATTCGCCGACACTAGAAACTGGTGCGTGGGGAGCAGAGGGAGGGAGGGGAGAAGGGTATGCAAGGTGCATGGCATGAAAAAAAGATAGGCTCTGACGGTGACAGATGGCCCTGGAGAGGGCTGCTCTTGTCACCACAACTATCTGGCATTGATCGAGCATTTTCTAGGTGTCAGGCACAGAGCTTCATGCTTCACATGTGATATCTGTTTTAGTGAAACAATCTAATGTGGTAGCATTACTATGTTCTCTAGTTTACAGAAGGAGCACAAGAGGCTTAGAAAGGTAAAGACATCTGTTTGAGGCCTCAGGGAAGTAAATGGCCGAGTCAAGATTCAAGTCCAGGCCCGTGTGATTTCAGAGCCCACGCTCTTAGCCCCTGCTGCTGTGCTGTGCTGGCCACACACCTGCTGTGTAACAAGAACAGCTGGAGAAGATGTGATGTGACCAGCCAGATGCTACCCTGGCGACTTCCTGATGACTTCACGAGGAATCACAAAATCTTTTCCTCCCCTGTGTGTGTGTTGAACAGAAGTGTGTTTCTGTATAAGCTTTAGTAGGAGCGGACAAAGAAGGGAGCAGACCCTACTGAGTGAGCACCATGGCATTTGGAAGAGAATGCTGGGCAGGGCACAGCTCAGTGGCAGAGTGCATGCCTAGCATGCATGAGGTCCTGGATTCAAGTCTCAGTACCTCTATTAAATAAATAAATAAACTTAATCATCTCCTCCCATATTTAAAAAAAAAAAGAAGAAAAGAAAAGAAAAGAAAAAGAAAAAAGAAGGCTTTTAAGGGAGTAGACGAGGGACCACTCACAATGGTACACGTTAACTCAGAAAAGTGTCCGGGCTGCTCCAGTGGGGAAAGGCAGGCTACGACCACAAGATGAAAGTGGGAGAGGCGGAGTCGGCGTCGAAAAAAGCAGCTCACAGACAAATGGAAATATTCTGGTGTTCTACGAGCCTGTCTGTTACAGAGGCTCTTTCCTTCAAACATAATTGGTCTCTGTCAGCCGAAAAGAGCCAGGTGGGCTAAAAAGGAAGACAAGGAAATAGCCTGGACAGAGAAACAGGCATCACACAATGACACGTTAAAATGAGATTCTTCTTGAAATAAGAATGAGACTGGCCCTTGCAGGGGTAAGGGGAGGGGACGGCACTGTATGGGGCCCAGCTCTGGTGGAGTGACAGCCTCTGTTATGACAGCTGCACGCCTTCCCAGGGCCGGGCTGGTGCTGAATGCCTGACATCCACAATCTCAGTACGTACTGTGAAAGGTGTGCAGGTGGATGGAGAGGCCATTGGCTTGCCGGAAGCCCTTGCCACAATCCCTGCAGACATACGGCTTGTCCCCGGTGTGGGTCCTCACGTGGCGGGACAGCTCGATGGACTGAGCAAACACCGCATCACAGTACTGGCACGCATACATTTTTCCTGGAAATATGCATGAGTTTACTAGAGCCAGAACTAAACATTCATGGCACTCCTAAAAACAAAATCACATCCTAAGGCACAGGGGAGAGAAATATAATCTGGGAGATGCTGTTAAAACATCAGGCAATTTGTAATACACTGGGTGAGAGGTCTGAGCTATCCTGTCAGATGGCACTTCACAAACACAGCTGATCACACAGAGAGGGTATCAGTGTGGTCTTCCTACCCTGAGGGATAAGGACAGAGTTCTCATCACACAAGACTACCCATCTGTTAGCCTGGCCACCATAAGTATGGAAGAACTCGTTCCATTCCCAGGAAGCAGATACATCCTTGTGCCCAGAAATAGTGGAGTCTGGATCTGTTAAAAAACATACAGGGCAGAGATGCAACTACACATAAAAATGAGAGACATGGATTTAGAGAAGAAAGCAAGTCTTTCCCAGTGACTTGCTATAAGGATTCTCTTGGCTTCCCTATTTTCTCATGCACATAATGAAAATATAATGATCAGACTGCTAAATACTGTTAAAAAATATAGGTAAAGAGCTGGTCTGGGAAACTAGCATTTGTGAAAAAAAATGCCAGACCAACTGTACCTCCAATCTCCCTCATGGGCCAATAGAGAAGTGGGCAGATCAACAGGGTGAGGGTCCAGAACCCCCAGATCCTAGGGCTGGCCTCAACAAGAGCAATCAACCTCATTTTCATTTTTCACAGGCTACACTTTGGAGTAAGATTTTGTTAGGGAAAACAGAGAGCTTCTTGAACCAAGAGTTGAAGTGACTGAGAAGCCAGGACCCAGCCCTCAGCCTTCCCTAGCCCCACTGCTCTTATCTCAGAGCCTCATGTCCCATCTGTACACTAACAGCTCCCAGCTTCCCCCAGAACTTGACTTACACATCCAACTGCCTGCTACTCTACTTCCCCACCTGGAGGTCTGACAGGTTTCTCAAATCGATCCTGTCCAAACCAGAGCTCCTGATTCTCTGGCCCCACCTCCCCTACAACCGCCCCCCCCCCAACACATGCTTTCTCCACTTCGGTAAATGGCAGCATCCTTTACCCAGTTGCTCATACCAAAAATCCCAAAGCCATCCTTAATTTCTCTCTTTCCCTCACATTCCACATCCAATCTATTATTAATCCTGTCACTTCCACTTTCAAAAATACATCCTCAAACGTAAACATTTTTTACAACCCCTCCAACACAGCTCTAGTTGAAAAGTCTGTCACCTCCACACTAGACCACTGCAATGCCTCCTATCTCCCTGTTTACACTATACTCTTATTCTATTAAGGTTTATTATCCAGAGCAGCCAGAATTAACTTTAAAAAATATAAATCAGATCTTATCACTCCTCTGCTCAAAACTGTCCCTCAGCTTTCTGTGGCAGACAGAATAATGGCCCCACAGATGTCCACATCCTAATCCCTGACACTGGTGAATATGTCACCTCACATGGCAAAAGGGACTTTGCAGATGTGACTGAGGATCCTGAGATGGGAAGCTTATCTTGGATTACACCAGTGGGCCCGAGGGAACCTCAAGGGTCCTTCTAAGAGGCAGGAAGGAGAGTCAAGGGGGAGGCATGATGACGAAGCTGGGACTGGAGTAGTGTGTCCACCAGCCCAGAAACGAAACAACCTCTCGATTCTGGAAAAGGCAAGGAACAAGTTCTCCCCTAGAGCCCCCAGAAAGGACACATTCCACCAAAACTTTGGTTTTAGCTTTGTAAGACCCGTTTTGGACTTGTAACCTCCAAAGTGGTAAGATAATGCATTTGCATTTTTTAAGCCACCGTTCCTGGTAATTTTTTATAGCAGCAACAGAAACTAACACGCCTTACATAAAAACCAAAGCCCTGACCTGCGAGGCCTTCAGTGACCTCTCTGACTGCATCGCTCAACACTTCCCCTCATTTACTGTGCTTTAGCCCTTTCTAGTTGTCTCTGGCCTCTCAAACAGGTGAGGCTCGTTCCCACCTGGGGAAGGGCCTTCGCACTTGTGATGGTCTCCCGGATCTTTCACGGGTTCCACCTCTCACTGCATTCAGGTTTCCACTCAAGTCTCGCCCGCCTCCTCTGATGATACAAATAAACGGCGCCCACCCCCGCCCCTGCTCACTCATCTACTTGTCTTCACTGCATGACTGCTGCCTGAATTAACACCACACGTTTATATGTGGTCTGTTTATCCACTGGAATGTAAGTACTGCCTGGAAAAATGCTCAAGAAATTTATTCACTCAGTAAGTGTTTATCGAGGGCCTGCAATTGCTAAGTACTGTTCGAAGTTCCACAGATACGGCAGGGGGAAGGGGGAAAGAAAAGACCAAGAGCTCTACCCCCATGGAACATGCATTCTAACAGGCAGAGACTATGAACAAAATAAACTACTGCAGTAGATTACAGATCATGTGATAAGCAATATGGAGAACAGTAATGCAAGGGAACTAGGGCTAGGGCGCTAGGATTTTACACAGGGCAGTCAGGAGAGGCCTCGCGGCGACAGTGAAGTGTGAGTAAAGAGCTGAAGGGAGGTGAGGAGGTGAGGCGTGGGGCATCTGCAGGGAAGACATGCAAGCAGAGGAAACAGCAAGAACACAATTCCTGAGGCAGGCGCCCTGCAGGTCTGGGGCCTCGCAAGGAGGCTGCAACAGGTAGGAGAGGGCGAGTGAGGGGAGGGCAGTGAGAGGTGAGCTCAGAGAGGTATGGGGGTTGATTCCGTACGGCCTGGCAGGCTGCCGTACACATTTTACACTGAGTGAGATAAAAAGCCTTCGCAGGGTTTTGAGCAGAGAAGTGACTTGATACGGTTCGGAAGGACCACGTGGGCCTGTGTATTAAGAATACTGGTCAGGAAAGGGTGAGAGAAGGAGACCAGTAGGGGGCGACAACCACCACCTAGGCAAGAAGATGGTGGCATTAGTCCTTACACGTAAATGTTCCAAACGACACACAGAATCCTCCGAGAAGCCTTTCCTGACACTGCGCCTCCTCCTTCCGACCGCACTGGAGGCCCCTACTTCATTCTTCCGCATCTCCTCGTAATGGTGCTATTTCACACCACACCACTGATGACTCTGCTCTGTAACTGTCTCTGTCTAGAGACACCCTAGACCGTTAGCTCTGCGAGCACGGGGATTCCAGCTTTGTCACCGAGCATCTGCCACTGCCTGATCCACAGCAGGTGCTCAACTAATGGTTTTCCTGTGCTTGAACTACATCCCAAAGCCCAAGGCATTCCTGGCCTCATGAAATTCTCTAACTATAAAGTCATGATGTTAGGTGAACCAGCCTCTCTTCAGAAACTCTCAGCATCTTACATGTCTGTGCACACATGGACTCTCATCACGTGTGCACCCAGAGAGGCTCTGCTCTGTTTCCATGAAATGGGCTGTTAGGCAACTCACACTGTGAAAAGTCTGCAGGAAAAATGAAGCAAAAATGAAGCACTCACCTTCTGAGTGCTTCTTCTTGGTGTGGTAGGCGAGGGCAGAGGCCTGGGTGAAGGTCATGAGGCAGTGCTTGCACATGAACGGGCGGTCCCCAGTGTGAAGGCGAAGGTGGTTCTTCAGGGTAGAATTGGCCGCAAACTTGGCCCCACACTCTTCACAGGAGAATGGCTTCTCGTCAAAGTGCTCTGTCAGTTTGTGGTACTGCATGCCTAGGGAAGCCGTGCCAGGGACCAGAGATACCAGTGATCAGTGACATGAATCCAGCAAGAGGACACACCAGAGCACCGTCTCAGGCCAGGCCTCAAGAGGAAGCACAGCGGGAAGGACAGGACGCCAGCACGTCAGGGCACCCCGGGCGCCCCCCCCCCCCCCGCCGGATGGGGCGTGCAGTGCTCTGGGCTTATCTTTTCTATCCTCTCTCTCTTAAATAGGACCCAGTCACCCACAAAGAGTGGAACAGAACTCATTTTTCTGTTTCATTAGGTTTATCCAACATCTAGGGCAAGGAAAAACAATTCTGACTCTACATCCCCTGGTTCCTCTGAGTCTTGTTTACCATCAAGAAACAAGTGGAAAACTAAGAGGTATTAAATAGCTCGTCATTATTATGAATAATAATAGCCGCAATTCACTGAGGACTAACTCTATTGAAGGCACTGTACTAGGTGTTCTAGCTGTTTTAGCTCACATCTTCCTAACAATCAGGGAGCCTATTTAACAGAGGGGCAATTAAAGCTTAGAAAGCTGATTCCGAAACACTACCGAGCCTCTGTGGGAACCTGCTCTACCTTCTAAGCCCTTCCATGCTCCTTACTGCATACAACTGGAGGCAAGGCCTGGAATCCAAACCACAGTCTCCAGAATTATCATCCTCTATCACTTCACCTTCTTGAATGTACCTGAGGCATGAGCAAATTCTCTTCCACAGAGGTCACATGTCACCGGGAGCCTCTTCTTCTTCTTCTTGGGGACGTCAGGCTCTCCACCTGCACCATGAGCCTCCAGCTGATGCTTCTCCAGCTCCTTCTTAGAATCCTTGGTCTCATTACACTCCTTACACTGCACCTGTTTGCTCTTGGCCACCCGACAGCGCTTCATGTGTACCTTGAGGCGGCAGTAGAAATGGAAGCTTTTGTCACAGGCCTTACAGATGAAGCTCTTCTTGGCAGAGTCTGGGGAGGCAGAAGTGTCTTTCTCGTGTTGCTCTGGCAAGGAGCCTGTCTCTCCTTGACCGTTCTGCTTCCCAGGCTGGCAGTCTTCTTCAGCTGGCTCAGCTGTCTTTTCGTCTGCTTTGTCCTTGGCTTCAAGGTGAAATTTACTACTCACCGCCCACGTTTCCTTCTCTCCGTTTTCCTGAGTAAGGAAACCTGCAGAGGAGAGAGATTTCATGGCTCTGGGAATTCTCGAAGTTTCTACTTTGCTCTCTAACTTCCCTTCTTAGGGGAGAATGGAGACTACCTGGGATCCTTATGAAACTCTGAAGCAGTATCACTGTCATCCTTAGTCTCTGATAAACACAAACAGCACCAGTTTACATTCATGCCTGACTTTTCTAAGTATTGAGAGAGCATAGAATAAATAAATAAGGCAGCGACAATGAACTCTCCCATGAACTGCTGCCTCTTCTCCCCAGTAAGGAAACGACTGGGGGAGCTAACAGGACCCCACCCGCTCTGTTTCTTACCAGTGTTCGCTAACTCCTGCATGACAGGCTGTAGGCCTGGGAAAGACCTGTGGACGCTGCACAGAAGCTGACATATTTCAAGGGCTGAGATGGACTTTTCCATGGCTCTGCTCAGCAATGCTCTCAGGGAAGCTTCAGGGCTGGTTGTCTCAGAGGAAATGCTCAGAATCTAAATGGATACCATGAGACAAAGGTTTATGGTTAATATCAGCAGATTTCTTCCATGGTTTTCAATTAGAAAACAAAGCTAATTTTAGGGATGCATTGCTCCAGCTATAACAAGGATGGATTTCTTGTGATAAATATAGTGGAGAACACTCTTTCTCCAAGAACAGGGAAATTAACAAAATTTAAACGAGGAGGCACACGTGAAGACAAATGTGCAAACACAAAGAAGGTGCAAGCGAGGTAGCACTGAGGGTTTTCTGCAAGTATCTTCTCAGAAGCCAGGAGTCTCCCAAAGACCTTTCCTAGATCTTAATATTAAAAGCTTAAAAAGCTATAGGATTTGGTTGTTGGCATTTCTGTTTTGAAGATCAAGATAATTTTTCATAATATATAACTGTCTCTCAATGTCGGGAAGTAATTCTGCACGATCAGTGGCTTCACATTTTTAGATACTTAGATGTACCCTTTAAACATCATTTTCTTTCATAAAGAAACTCAGCTTTTTAAAGAAGGTTCAAATAGGGGCTTTAAAGAGGCCAAGAATATTATTTCAAAGCCATCCTCTCAGAATGTTAGAGCTATCAGCAGAAAGAGTCAGAACACTGAGAAAATAAAGCTAAACCATCCACAGATGGCCACATGGAATTTTCATTTTGGAAGATATTTTATTTCTGCTCTTTTCAAGTCTATCTAAATAAACCCAATGTCCCTGGAGGCAGGCATGAGACTAATTAGTGAGGCTAAAACTGATCAACTGCAGAAGCCCCATCTCTGAAGTACGAGGCACGCTGGAGAGAGTCTAGCAGATGAATCTCTCCTCTGAAGCCCCCAGAAGAGTGCACCATCGTCCTCCCATCTGAGAGTCAGACCAAGGCTGGGCTGTCACCTGTGGATCGAGTTAGAAACCAGACCTTCCATACACCATCCGTGTCTACTTGGATCAAGAAGCACGACAGGTGAATTTAGTTTAATTTTATGTTCCTTTATGATTCTTTCCCACTCAAGATGCACATAATCCTGGGATGAATTCGTGAATCCCCCCCCAGTCCCCACCTGGTTTTTCTGGGATGCTGGCCACACTGTGAGAAGCCTTACAGAAAGTGAATTGGCACAATTTGCTACCCCATATGGGCAAAGGCTTTGTTCTTTCTATGTTTATTCTGGCTGTTTCTGGAAGCCAGAATAGAGCATGTAATAAGACCAATTTTACTTTTCTTCCTCTGGAAAAAGTTGCTTCTTAGAACATGGGAGAGGGCAGTGTCACGGTTCCCTCTGAGTTTCCTAGGTTGAGACAAATGCAGTAAATCTGGGTTTGAGTCACATAAACCCGAGTTCAAATCCTGGTTGCTTCCCCGTCCAGCTGGTACGTCCTAGGTATGTTGCTGAACCCCTTGATGCCTGAGCGCCCTTATCAGTAAACTGTGGACGATATCACAGGCCACTTAAAAGTTGGGAGGATTAAAAGAACTGAAGTATCACAAAGCATCACCTAGCCCAGGGCTCGGCCCACAGCAGCCGCCCCGCGGAAGCTGGCTCCTCCCTCAGGAGTGAAGACAGTTCCAGGCATCAGCGTCATCAAACTCCCCCAAACGCTGCGTCTCTATTCCCACCACACCTCTTTCACTGTCTCTGCCAGCTGCTCCTCCTCTGAGGTCAAGCACCTGAGCTCAGCCCTTCGCTGGGCGGCCTCTAGGATCAGTCTGTGATGCCTCAGGATGGTTTCAAAGGCAGCACTTTCTGGTGTGGCCACTGAAAAAGGAGGGAGGGATTGAAAAGTCATTAGTGAAACTACGAGCACCATTTTTTTTCCTTTCGCTTTTTCTCAATTCAGTTCTTCATATTGAGAATATACCTCATCTATCTGCCACCTGGGGCTGCAGTGAGGAAAGTGGCAAGGAGTGCTGTAACCGAGTATAATTGCTAACGTAAGCTTAGAATGACTGCTGCGTATTTTACTTTAAAAGGTTTACAAACCTCACGTCCCTGAACAAAATCGCCAGTCCTTACTTCTAATGGTCGGGATGTGGAAGGCTACCGTAAGAAAGCTCCCTCTGTTTTCTGGGAAGACTGACGATAATCTCCGGTGGGGGCAAAGCCACCACAGAGGTCAGGAAGCCTACCTGCCCGGAAGAAAGCGTCGGCGCCAGGCTCCCTTCGTATTTCCTCCAGGAGCAGGTTCAACGGGCAGGTCTTTGTTTCCTGAGCCACCAGCAGCAGTTGCCAAATGGCTGTTGCAGAGAGAGCCTGCTTTTCTAGAGCTGCTGACATCAGAGCACTGAAACCACCCGAACCAGAGTCACGTTTCACGAGCTTCTCCATGACCTTCAAGACGCAGCACAAACATACAAGTAAGGGACTTTCTAGTCACTGGCCCAGCTGCTGAGCTGCAAGTCTGAGCAGTGGATTTTAGTGAATGTATTTCTGGGGAGGAGTTTTTCAACATCCTTCACCTCTTTCAACCGAAGAGATTTTCATACATGACAAAGGCAAAGTTCTCTGTGCCTCCTTTTGAATGTGTTTCCTTACCACTGCGGAGATAACAACTAATCCTACTTGTCACTCTGCCTTAGAAGTTAGATCACCTATTTCTCCTTTGCTGCTGATTCCTTAACATTTCTCAACATGGCTGGTTTCGGCGTATGTTTACATAAAACATAAACATATATTTTTTAAATATGTGTTCATCTCTTTTCCTTCTCTCATTTTACCCACCCTCCCTCCCTCCCTCTCTCTTACCTCTCTTTCTCCAGGGGCTAAACTCTTCACGTGTGGGATCATTTTTAGTAACATCTGGTTGTCTGTGAAAATCTCAGAGAGGTTTTCATGATACCGTCTCAACAGCTCAATCCCATAATCATCAGGGCTTGCTTGGACTGTAAGGATATTAGCAAAACAATAATGTTTGATACAACAAAACCTCCTTAAGGGCTTCTCCTACAGAACACGAGAGGAGTTACAAATGAAGGCAGGAGAGCGCGATCGGCATTAGAGTGCTGTCTCCTCTGGAGAGTAAGTGCAGCTCCTGGCTTGGGGCCTCACACACATGTGTTCACATCTCCTTTGGTCTACACTTAATCACTCAGCGCTTCAGGGTCACAAAACCACTACCACTTTGAAAGTTAGTGCCCGGTGGTAGAAGCTAGTGATTGCTCAACAGGGGGGTAATTAGAAGGCTGCACTTGTAAGAGATTCAGACGTACAGATTCAAGGGATATTATCCGTCAGGCCTGAGGTAAAGGATGCATGTGGCGATCCAAAATACAGGCAGGCATGAGTCAGGACTGCTGACCTACTGCTCTTCTGTTTATACGCCCTCTGAGCCAATCTTTTAAAAGGTCATATTTATTTGAAAGTAAAGTCAAAACTATCAGGCATTCCCCTTAGCTCTGCAGATATTTAAAAATTTATTCTCCTCTTTGGCCCAGTAACTCCACTTCTGGGAATCTAGCCTTAAGAAATGATCTAAAGGTTAAAAAAAAATCTGTGTACAAAGATATTTGCCTGTGTATAATTTGTGATTGTGATGATGAAGATAACAGCTAATGTTCACTGAATGCTTACTATGTGCAGAGCACTGTGCTAAATATTTACATATATTATCTCACAGTAGCCATAAAAATGAACGTGATAGGTATCATTCTTATCCCTGTCTCACAGAGGAGAGAATGAAGTTCAGAAGGGTTAAGTCACTTAGTCAGGGTCACACAACTACCAAAGGAGTCAGGGTGCAAATCCCGATAGTCACGACAGTCTTAAGCGTCATGCCACATGTGCCCCGGACGAGGGTAAGAGTGATACAGCATACGTGTCCTTATGATGGAAAACTGCATGGCCTTAAAAAATAGAATGCTAGGGAGTGTTCTGAAATGTGGAGAATGTTTATGTCACATTGTTGAATGGGGGAAATTATAAAACATGGTAGTGTCTCAACATTGTAAAAATAATGTGATAGATACAATACATCAATGTATTAATATTGAAATAATCAAGTGGTGGGATTTGAGGTTGTTTTCTTTATTTTTCAGATTGTTCGAGGTTGTGTAAGTATGCATTATTTTTATAAGCCAGTAAATAAGTTCTCTCATTTCCCAAATACCCTTTTTCTGAAAACCACCTGAGTCTCCAGCGCTCCGAGATGGGAGAGGGTTGGCTGGAGTTGGGCTGTTTTTCTAAGTGGGACACGGACTCATTTCCGCAGACTGGACTGACATGAGGGGCAGTTAATTCGGGGACTGCTGGTGCTGGAGCCACAGCACTCAAGTGGGAATGGGGACATCAAGGCGTGAGCTTCTGTCCACTCCGTGGGCAGGTGACATGGGACAGCCTGGGAAAGCCACACATTAATAAACCCTGAACCATGGGAACATTGTGAGGGAGCTTAATGGAGAAGAGCAGTTCTCAGGTTTCAGAACTTAACTCCAGAAACACTGAGCCTCACTGATTTGTGAGCTAGTTTCTCTTTCGTAATGGCTTTTCTTAACACTGTCTTATCTCCCCAGCAAGGAACCAGAGGGTGTTTCAAGCTGCAATTTTTTGGAGGGGTAGTTCCAGTCCAGAGAGTCAATAATTAACTAATACCTGTGGTGCTCGGCAAAGTGGCTAATTTCTGCAAATTCTCCAGCAGAAGGCCCAAGTTTGGGAATGTCATCTTCACTGCCTGAAGGAGTTTTACCAAACTCCCAGCACTCAGGGTCTTCTCTTCAGACATTCTGTACAACAAGTTTTCTATTGTCTCCTTGGGTGTTCCGCCCTCACAGCAATTCAGAATCACCTGCAGTGGCAAGCAATCAACCCGACACAAGTTACTGGCAATTCTAAATGTATCTGACGCACCACTGGAAACCCAGCAAGACAGCATTACAAGACGCCTGCCTCCAGGTCCTCTTCTGCTGGTCTCTAGTGCCACTTTTGTCATAGTCTTTTCCTTATTCTGTTTCAATAAAAATCCAAAACATTCTCCAAACAGCTCTATGAAAATCTTCCCTTCTCAATTGCAGGTTGCCTCCAACATTTTGCATTTTGTGAAAATATTCTTAGGCTGGCCACTATGACACAGTGAGTAGCTTACATCTAACCTGGTTCTTTAGATTGAGTTTGTTCAGACAGGAAGATTGAGAAATAGCCTGGCAATTAATAAACACAGTTACAATGTTTTTCAATCTTTGTTCATTTGGTAAAGTACATGACAGTGGTAGAGGTTGCAAGTTCAAAGCAATTCTATTATTTTACTTCCTTTTACTTTATTTATGTAGCAATTTGAATACCCAGATACTTCATACGCTTGTCTGTGGCCTCCAAAATAATAGATTTAAAGTGCATTCCTGGATTATTTTTTCCTGCAGACTCTTTATTATCTATCCTTCTCCCTCCCAGTGGCCACATGCACCAGCTCCAGTCATCTTCCCAGAGTTCTACTCCCTTGTTCTTCCTTGCTGTGCTAGAGGGCTTTCTGAGTCAAGAGGGCACAGGCCTCTAGCAAAAGGTTGAAAATAAAACACATGACAGTTACTTTATATTTTCCTATTATAATCGAACTATTTCTTAATGAATTATAATTTACTATGCATAACTTGGCTCTTATGGATAAGGCAGGGGATTACTTCAATACATGTAATCTATAGATTCACAGTAACTGAATTTTGAGCTTTCCTTTGGGAAGATGCCAGTTCTCAGGAGAGTCAAGCAGATCAGTCATGGTAGCATGCCAGAGGACACCATTATCAAATTAACTCCCATTTAAAAATAATAAATTTAGCCACAAAACAAAATTGGTTTTATACATGTGGAAGGAATATCTATACTACATAAATATGAAAGGAATATGTATATTACAAATTAACTTGTCATATTCGTCGTCAGTACAGAGCATAGCCATTCTCTTTGTCTAAGGTCTAATATGTATTAGATTTCTACTAAATGAATCATAATTTAAAACTCAAGAGCTTGTGTCTAAAAATCACACTGATTTCCGTGCTATCTCTTAGTTCCTAAACCATCATCTGATACAAAATGAGACAGCCAGACAGTGAGCATGGACTTTAAAGCCACACAGGCCTAGTTTGAATCCCAGTTCTAAAATCTATGGCCTGTGTGACCTTGGGAAAGTTATTAAATTCTTTGAAAAGAAGGTAACAATATCAACTCTTGCACAGTTGTTCTGAGGATTCTCTAAAATGAGGTTGCTGTTTATAGAGCCAAGTGTAACTCCCAGGACGTATGTGATTGTTAATAAGTGACAATGGTTACTGATATTATTAGGAAGCCGGATGCACAGTGGTTAAGAAGATGTGCTTTGTTTAGAACTCTGAATTCCAGTGCTGGTACCAAGCAGCTGTGCCTTTGGGTGAGCTGCTTACCCTTCTTAAGCTTCTGTTTCTTCATCTTTAAAATCAGGATAATATCCATGACTTCATAAAGTTGCTGTGAGGGTAGAATTTGGTAATGCTTAAAAGGTCCTGAGCACAGTGCTTGGCACACAATAAGCAATAAATTAATGGCAGCTATAGTAATTACTATTTTTGTATCTGTTTCCAGTCCTGAAGCAGAGAAATTCCTAGTTACCACTTCTTACAGAACCCGCAGTGTGTATACACAAGGGTCAGGGTACCTAGCTAGCATTAGCAACACTCTATAAGAGAAAAAGTTCCAAATGGCCTGGGAGCACGTTCCACATGATGTCAAAACACTGTGACTATTTGATCAACATTCACCTCTACACTCCTGCTTTATTATTTTCCTTCAATTTTCGTGAGAAAGAGTAGCTTAATGAAGCTCTGGTGGATCCCCAATCTTAAGAAGTGTTTTTGTGATTTATAACTAATTTAAGTTCTTTCTGCTTCAGCCCTTTCTGTCAAGTAAACTGAAAGTGACAGAAGAAAATGACAGCGTGGTCTGTCTTGCTACAGAGAATAAGGCTGAGTTTGGCTTTACCTATAAATGCTGTTTTAGCAAGATAATGAAACAGTTCAAAGGACAGATTCAATCTAGCTAATAAGGAAAAAGTTTGAATGAGTAATTGAATGGAATCACTAAATAAGGAATTAGGTACTTCTAGAGCTATAAGCAACTTACTTAAACTGAGTGCCTAAGTTTCCACTTAATTTGAAGACTAAGGAGAAAACAGGGCTTTAATTTTATTCTGTGCATATATTATCTTTCTCGAAGAAGTTCAAGGAAGGTAAACTTTTAAAAACATAATCTGCAAAATATAATTTTGAGATTAAAGGCTATTCCCATGTTATATGAAAAAATAGCAATATAAGATCATTGAGAAGAAGGAAATCTAGGGTCCGGCCCTCACTATCCACCTAGTGCTCAGCCATCACACCAGCGGTTTCCAAACGTTTTCTCTCCTGAACATTGAAGTCATTTCCCACAGTTTGACGCCACAAAAGTTCTCTGTCCCTATTTCTTCCTTCCAGATATAAAAATATTTTTAGCACAAAGTTGAAATCAATAACACCAACAAATACAGTTATCTAGTTGACTTGAGAAGTCATGCTAGCAGTTTTATGAGGATTTTAGCAGCTGGCTGGTGGCAGAGTAAATCGGTACAACCTTCCTGAAGGGCAATTTGGCAATATATCTCAAACACTTGAAAAAATTTATACTCTCTATTCCAAAATCTCACTTCTTAGAAATTATTCCGAGGAAATACTCTGAGAAGTGTGCAGAAATTTGTGTCCAAAATGCTCCCTGCAACATCATTTATAACAGCAAAATATTGGAATAGCAAAAACTTAGGAAAAAATGCCCAAGAATAAAGAATTAATGAATTATAGTATATTCATTAGACAGAAGACAGTATAGCTACCAAAATCTGTATTGTAGGTGTGGAAATGTATTCACATGTACTAAGTTAAAAAATAAAGTTATAAAACTAATGATAACCCCATCCCAGGATGACTCAAACGGGAAAAAGTGAGAGCACATGCTCCAAAATGTTAGCAGTGATCAGCTGTGAGTGGTGAGACGGTGGGAGATTCCGGTTTTTCTCTTTCTACTTGCCTTCCCAATTTTTTAAAGATGAACAATGTTATCATTTCTGTTAAGAGGGAAAAAATGTGAAAACAGTTACAAATGTGCCTAAATACTTTAATTCTTGGGGCAAATGTTTTATATTAAAATCTCATTGAGTCAGAGCAGGAATAGCCTTCCATCCATCCACGCATCTAAAGCTTTAATGCCTGACTACCATGTGCAGGGTGCTCAGCAAGCTGCTGCAGGGGATGGACACACTGAGGCATGAAGCAAGAACCTGAAATTGCAGGTGCTTACTATGTAGTCTGTGAAAAACCCTGCAAGATAAAAAGTGCTCTGTGCCACAAAAGAGGCTTAAAAAAAAAGTGCTATATGAATTCAGAAGGGAGGAAGAGACACTCGACACAGTTACCCTTTTCTCAGTGCCAGTCAGGAATTCCTCCTTGGCTGTTTCCAGGAACTCCATGATAGGTCTCAGCTGTGTTACGCACTGGATCAGGTCCTCTTTGTGTTCTAGTAACAGAACAGACAAGGTCTTTCCCTCCTCTGTGCTCCCTGGGGGAGAAAGAGTTAGAGAGGAACAAGAGAAGCTAGTCAATTTGAAGGAAATGACAGCATGGTTTGTCAGGAGAGATCTAACAGAATAGTAAAGTGATTCCCAGCCTGTTTTGAGCACTAGAATGCAGAATCTCTTTTTGGAGAGGAAAATACTTTATTATTCTGTTTAAACTCTATGAAAGAAAAAAATGTTTCATTTATCTGTCGAAGCACAAAGCTGTAGAGCCAGCCAGAGGTTAACTTCTGGTTGGCAAGGCCACTGCTTTGTACCTAACCCAAATGAGAGAAAACTTCAGTCTTTAAGTGCTGTCAGCAAACCAGTTCACCCTGGGCACTCAAAACATTGATTTGGATGTGTGGCTTTTTGAAGGGCAGGAGAACACATTGATGGTATTCTCCAACTTCAAGGTGTCAGATTAGTTAACTAGTGGGTAGAAGAAATGAAGACTCTTATTAGTTCGTATATATTTAACATGCAGCCTCTGAAACTGCAGGTAGGATTTATGCGAAAATCCCTTAACAATAGCTAAGCCACCGAAGAAATGCATCACTGGAGCAAACTTTATAGCATCTTCCCAGAATAAAACTCAGCCCCTCAGGTGGATAAGGTTTCTCCTACCTTTTGGCTGTGCTGCTTCTGCGTCTGCGGGCTTTCTGTCTTGCAGGGCTGACTTTACTGCAGGATTAGAATCTTGGTACAGCCTCAACAGGGACACAACAGTCTGAACATCCAGGCTCTCATTTCTTACTTTATCCAGGATTCTCTGGAATGCTGATTGTCCTTCTTCCCCCTCAAGACATCCTATTAGGGTCTGTGAAACACAAGTGCCCAGAAAGAGAGATCAGCCAGCCACAGGAACCCCATGCTCCTTGGATTTGCAAGGAGGCCCTCAACAATTCAGTCCCCGCCTACTTGACCTTTCCATGGCGTTTGATATTCCTGTTGCCTCTGCACCACAATTCTCTGACTTCTTAATACTGAAGCATTTTAGACCAGAACTTGCCTTTCTAACGACTCTTCTTCTGCCTTCCTCACTGGTTCTTCTTCCAAATCCATAACCAAAAGCAGCTCTGGTTTCAACTATTCCCCCCTCCACTTTATATATGCTCCCTTTCGAAAAGCTCTCACATGTACAGCTTTAACCATGCAGATAACCCTGAAAACTAGCTCTCTAATCCTGAACTCCAGAGCCACAGTTTCTGTTAGATATGCCTTATCCTCCAAGGGTCTCAGCACCACATGCCTCAAACCAAACTCACCATCTTGACTCTTTGAAACCTAGAGCACTAAAATATCAACAACTCCATGGAATAAAATAAACAACATTAGCATTCCCTTCTTTGGTCTGACAGAGCATCTCTCTCACAAATGGGAGGAAGGCCAACTGGAAGGCAGAATTAATATTTCTATTTCAGCGGTAATGAATGGATTCGAAAAAAATCTGGGAATCAAAACTTAATTTCAAGTGGAAGGTCTTATGTATAGTCTTTATACCCCTACTTGGCAAATCTACCACCTACCTTTGATGTTTTGTAGTGTTGATACTATAAAAGAAAATTGTTTTCTCGTGGGAGTATTTAGAGAACAAAAAGTTCAGGTTTTCTGGACACATACAACACAAAAGGATCTCATGAATACGTACACTGGCGAAGTTCACCTAGACAGCTGTTATAAATTCTGACAGTAATTACATGTTTACAATTGTTGTTTAGAGAGATTTTATCTTCTACGCTCTTCCCAAATACAGAGGATTATGAGTTAGACTTTGATTCTTGAATTTGCTCTAGCTTGTTTTCTGATCAGAGAGGACTGCTAAAGCTAAGTTAAACTGAAAACAAAAAGGTTTCCATGTTTTTTGGTCATCTCCCAAAGTAAACATAGTAAAACACAATTTAATAATCCACATTAAGATTTTACTGGAATAAATAACTTTTATGAACATCAAATAATTCATCTTGTCTCTATTTTTAAAGTAATAAACAAATGAGATAAAGATTTCAGTTGAATGCTTAATTCCTTTTGGTCACATTTATTCAACCTTTCATGCTCTCCTTAGTTGGCCTAAAATCTCTTTAGAATGCCTCTTCCCTGACAGCTGTAGGGACCTGAGGTAGGCAGCCTCCATAGTGGCTGCTTCCCAGCATGCCTGCCTCCAGGTTTCCATGCCGTTGGGCTGAACCTGATGCCTTGCTCCTATATGGCAAAAGTAACGGGAACCACCAGTGAGGCTAGGTTACTGAGATTTCCATCTTGCCTACATGTGAGCTCTCTGAGTGTCTTTGCTCTGGGGGATGCAAGCTGCCATGTTGTGAGGTACCCTCCAGAGAGGTCCACGTGGCAAGGAACTCACGTCCCCAGCCAACAGTTAGTGAGTGAGCTTAGAAAGAGACACTCCGCAGCTGAGCCTTGACGTGTCTGCAGCCCAGGCTGACACCCTGACTGCAGCCCTGTGAGGGGCCCTAAGCCAGGGACTCAGCTAAGCTATGCCTGAATTTCTGACCCATAGAAACCACGAGGTCATAAATGTTTGTTCTTTTAAGTCGCTAAATTTTAAGGGTAATTTGCTTAACACAGCAATAGTTCATTCATAAAGACCCACTATTGCTAATGCCCTAAGTTTTAAACTTGGTTCTTCCCCTTTATTTTCCCTTTCCCTCCTTCCTTCCTTCTGCAGATCTTAGTCAATACAGCATACAGCTATCTCATTCTTAGGCCAGTTTTTGTTCACCCGAAGCTCTCCGAGTATTCCACAACCACCTCTCTCAGTATCCCATTTGTCTGGCATTATCATTTGAGCCAGTGGGGAAGAGAAGCTTTCATCGTGGCGGCATCTGATGCGCTTCTCATTATCCCCTCTGCTGTCTCCTCCTCTGCAGAACTGCTCAGCAGTGAAATTAAAACATTTGTTAACTTCGCTGCTCAGCAGTGCCACCAGGGTGACCATCTGGGAAGAGAAGCAGGGGTGGGCTGATGAAAGGGCCAGGAGGGAGCAGTCGGCTGTCTGGACAGCCCTGCTCTTTGCTCTTTCTTTCAGAACCTACTGGGGACCTGCACCAGAGCCAGCACTGTAACTGTTACTCCGTCAGTCCCCTAAGATGCCTGGGGCTCTACACTGGAGTGAGCTCTTTTCTGAAACAGTGTTATCTTCCTAAACAGAAGGGTGTCACATATTGCAACAGCCTGGAATTCACTGATTGCTATCACGTAACAGAACTCTAAGAAATGGACCAAAACAGAGTTCTGTGCTTTAACCATAATTTGAAACTCTTTTAACTCTTAGAGTTAAAGGTACTTTAATAAATTCATATCAAATCATGGTCACACAAGTACTCAAAGAACTCTTATCTATGAATTAAATATAGGTCAATATATTTAAAGATGGGACAGTTTTCTTTCCATTATATGTGAAAAACCACTTAATCTTTCCTTTACACTCGGTCTTCTAATTGAATTTACTTATTTTCCCAACTGTTTGCTTACTGCCTTCGGATTTGTCTAGATTACATTGTGTTCTTGTTTGCTCATGCCTTCCCTGAATGTCGAGGACCAGACAATGGCAAGAATGATACCACAGCAGCTCAACACCATTCTAGATACTGTGCATACGTGCCATCTACTTTACTCCCCATATCAGACCTTGGAGGCATTACTATGACTACTTGAAGGAGAGTCAGAGAGGTGAAGTAACTCGCCCAAGGTTGCATGGCTAGTGAGCAGAGTACCCGGATCAAACACTGAGCTTATTCCGTTGAGCTGGCACCCCCTTCATCCAGTTCCAGTTACTTTTAGTGTAACCAAATCCATTTCACTGGATTCTATTGGACTTACTGGAATCAACCTCAAATTGAACACTGGGTTCAATCTCTGTTCAATATAGACAATCTAAAAAATCTGTACCATTCCTCCTGGTCTCAGTGATTAGTGTAGAGACTGGTATACAATAGGTGCTTAATAAGTGTTCATTTAACTGAATGAAATTCCCTTCCCATACAACCACTAGCTCTTCTAGCTACAGCTGCATATCTTAGACTTAGTAATTAGCAGAGAGGAGATCTGAAAAACCAACAACTTATTTCACCTCTCATAGACCTGACAAGTGAATCCTATCAACTCACTTCTTAAGATTACCCTATACCGTCAGTGAACACAGTCCACAAAACACAGACCCGTACTTCTCGACAAACCTCCAAAGCACTGGCACAGTTGAAAATATCAGATTCACTAAGAGCCTTCAATTTTGTTTGCCTTTGAAACAAAGTTGAAGGGGAAAAAGATGCTACCAGGTCTTCAGCTTTGGGAGTCTTTCTAGAACTTTAGGTAAAAAGTGGATCAAACAGCAAGGAAATCAATAGCAGAAAAAGTTATCTCCTTATTCTAGTCAAAGACTCACTTTGCTATATACACAATTAATTAAAAGCTGGGACATGGCTAGGAATAAAGAGAACAGACAATTAAAAGTTCTAGCACAAAAGCGGAAAAGAAGTGTAAGTCTGCCTTTAAGTATAAGTTTTACTCAGCTCAGTCACAAAGCCTCTTAGGTCAGTACCTGATTTTTCTAATGGGTAAGGGATATCACACTGAGATAAAGACAGGCGGAAGACACTCTCCCACCCCAGCACCCAAGAGATTTCTCCTTAATCAGTTTTGGCTTTGGTTTCACACAATTCAAGCAGCCCAGCCTCTTCTCATGTTGCTGCAATCACTGCTCAGGGAATGGCTTTGCCACCTTTCATCATTCATCTCAGGAAATAAAATAATCAGGACACTGGTTCATGGTGTCCTCCCTAAACTCAATCCCGGCCAGCTGCATATCTCACGTCTGTTTTTCAGAAAAGGAACAGGCTGGTCCATCTCAATCAGAACATCACTCACAAGCCTTAATAGGCTTCAAAATTACACATCTAAGTGTAGGTTATTTTTAATGTTGAGCTGTCTTTTTAATATTATGATGATTAACCAAATAACAACCAACAGCAACAAAAAAATTCAAAGCTCTCTGGGAGCTAAAAATATGTAAACAGAACAGCAATAACAACAGACAAAATCCCCAAACAACCTTTACAATTGTAGCTGAAATGCAGAATGATGTTCCAAGTGAACAGTTTTTAAATACATTCAGCACTGAAGTCTTTTGGGGATTCCTGCAATCGGGTGACTTCTGTGCATACTTTCCCCCAAATTACATATGTGGCAGGATTTCTTTCCTCTCAAGACATTCCATAAGGATAGGGAGCCAGTCTTATTTATGTTTATTTTCCTAGCAATCAGCTCAATGCCTGGCACAAACCAGTTGCTCAGTAAATATTTGCTGAATCAAAAGGAAAGCAAAGAGTAATGCTTGGGAAAAATGGGTATTTAGCAGCTCCTTAAAACATTGAGAGCTGTCAGCATAGACATCATGACATCTGCCATCATACATTAAGAATTTTGTAAGCCATTAACTTTTCCAGCAATGCTTCTCAAAGTATAGTCTAGAGATACCACAACAGCAGTCCATGGGGAACTTGTTAAAGATGGAGATTCCCAGGTCACAACCGAAGAATCAGACTCTTGGGAAATGCCGTCTGGAGATGTGCATTTTAACGATGGCACCAGATCATTTTTATATACACTGAACTGTTGTTCTGGAGACTGATGGTTTTGTAGGAGACACCAATCCTGCCGTGCAGGAAGCTACTTCTAAGTGTCATGGTACCTATTTGAAAGCATGATTTGCAAATTAAGCTTAAACACTAACATGTTTAACATTAAGAGAAACAACAAACCATCTCGTGTCAGAGTAAGTGATCATGCTCTCGAATATTTATAAGGCATCATGCAAAAAAGGGTTTCAAGGCTAAGTCTGAAAGTCCTGAGTTAATGCGTAGGCAAACAATAGCAGTCATCGCCTACTGGGCTCCTTCTATGTGCCTGGCATTTTAGTATAAGTTTTACATAAATCTTAATTAATTTCACAATGACCCTGTGATATAGGTGATAACATTCCCAAATTTTACAAATTAGGAAATTAAGCATTACAGAGATTAAGCTGCTGCAGGTCACAATGCTAGTGAATGGTAGAGCTGGATAAATAAATGATATATCTGTACAATGGAACCCTGCTCAGCAATTAAAAGTAATGAACATGCAACAACATGGATAACCCTCAAAACAGGTATGCTTAATGCAAGAAGCCAGGCCAAAAAGAATACAGACTATATGATTCCATTCATATCACACTCTAGAAAATGCACATTAATCTATACACAGAGAAAGCAGACCAGTGCTACCTGGGGAAGGGCGAGTGGAAAGGGGAGGATGGAGGGATTACAAAGGAACGTAAGGAAAATTTAAGGGGCAAGGAATATGTTCACTATCTTGATTGTGGTGCTGATTTCAGGTTTCACAATTTATCGAACTGTACAACTTTAAACAGGCACAGTTTGCTGTATGTCAATCATACCTCAATAAAGCTGTCTAAAAGAAAGTGAGAGAGAAGGACAAGAACTAAATACAAAGCAGTACCTCCCCAACTCTATATTTTATTTAATTTAATCTTATGTTCTCAAGGTATTTTTTCCCTTTTTCTTTCTGTAGCTGAACGATATATTATGGAATAAAACAATCAGTTTTAAATACAGCCATCAAGTGATTTGTAGAGCTCTTACACTGACCTCTAAAACCGAGGAAGAAATAACAAGCCTATAATGATCACCAACAGTGAATCAGTGCTGTTGCGAAGTACTATTAATGTTATTGCCATCAAAAGATTAGGACACAATCTGGGGGCAAAATGTTGAATGAATCTATGTACAGCAAACATTTCTTGAGCACCTGTTATCTGCCAGACACTTTTTGGTACCAGTGTGAGGAAAAAAAAGCATAAGACACAGTTTAAGGAAGTACAGAGGTGACACTAATAATTCCAGTACTGCTGATTTAATAATTTGAATATTGTTCCTCTGCAACCAAAGTTAAGTGGAGAGGAAGTCTTGAGAGAGAAAATGAAGAGGAGTGTCTATAAGCTACCACGGTAACAAACTAGTGACAAAAATGATGGATTGAACAGTTAAGAGAACATCCAAGTGCAAAAATATAAAACCATAATGTCCTTCAGCATAATTAGTACAAAAACGATTTACAAGTTGAAACCTCCCCTAAGGAAGTCACCAGGGTTAGCCCAGTCTTGTAAACAGCTTAGCTCTCAAGAAAACAATTTAGAGCCAACAACTGATTAGCCATGGTTAAAAAATGCTTGACCTTAAATTTGTTTTTTTAAAAAAGTAACTTGCTATGAATCAGGGAAATATCTAAATAGTAGAAGGCATTTATTGCTTGGATTAATAGTAACTAACAGACACTAAACTGTCTGCAGCAACACTGGAGAGTGCCCCACACGACCCCTCGGATCAGATGAGCAGGCTGCAGGGACAGTGCCTGCACCTCTCAGAATGGGAGGCATGGCTGGGAGAAAGGGGAAGCAAGGGGAGCTCCGAAGGGGCCTTGCAGGGCCAGGTGTGAGGGAGCAGGCAGTGAGGGAGCCCACAGGTGGGGATGTGTCTCACTGAGACAGTGAAAAGGAGAAAGCATCAGCTCGGAAGCAGAACATGATAACCATTGGGCAGTTACCTAAACATTTATACAGACATGAAATACATGTATCATTTCTCACTCTATTGGGAGGCAGGAACTCAATGGTAAGAGAAGAGCTCTGCAGTCAGAATGCTTAGGTTTGAAATCTTGCTCAGAGTTTAGTTTGATGAGCTCTGCAACCTTGGCCAAGTTACATCACTTCTTTGAGAAAGAGCTTCTCACCCATGAAACCAAAATAGTATCCACCTCAATGATTTCTGTGAGGATTAAGTGAGATAACATATGTACCAAGAGCAGCACAGTAAGTATTCAACCAGTGTTCACCGCCATTGTCTTCACGTCTGAAAATGGCCACTGTGTTCCTAAACATCGATGCAATTCACTAGTAAGTTTATAGTGTTTTTGGTACCATGTTTTGAGTATTTATTGTTGTTCTGTTTTTTGTTTTTATTATTTAATGCCTGATTTGCGGTTATCCATGACTACCTTCTGCCTCATTTCATCCCTGATTAAGCAGAAGGAAACAGTATGCTCAGCTAAGTATCCTGGATCAAAACTGGCTGTGTACTGGGATTCACCTAGTGATCAAAATATAACTTCATTTTGAAAGTATCTTCTCTAGCACTTTTGCAAGACTGTCCTTTAGTGAATAAATTTTTTTTTAAGGTTGAACAAAATTGAGACTCCGGAGTATTTTGCATTTCTGTGTTTCTGTCCCATATGGGAAGTTGGTTTGCTATCCTGAGACACTAAACCAGCAAACAAAACTCATGGTACCTACCTCCTTCTGTGTGCCTTTAATTTCTGAACATTCTTCTAGTCTTTTTAAAACATCCTGGGTAATCAAGAGTGCATCTGAGAAGATATTTTCATTTTCTAGAAGAAAATTCAGCTGGTAATGTTTCCCCTCATACTCTGAATGTAAAACAAAACAAAATTTTAAAAAATCAGTGACTACTTGGAATGATTTTTTAAAAGTTTAAGCTGAGAACCTTTAGGTCATATACTACACTTATAACTGACATCTAACATATCAATTACAAGTAACAGAAAACCGCTTCTCTAACAGCTTCCTCTTTTGTGCCTCCCTCATCCTGGTTAAAATAATGGGTAAGTATCAAAAACGGTACATCATTATTTCAATACTGCTTTTCTGCTCTGTGGCTCATCTTCAGGCTTCCAACACTCAAAACCACTTCTTTTAAAAGAAGAATGCCCTGATACGAGTATTATATTGGATTCTGGTTTCCCACCTAGCAGTGGTCTTTGGTAAATTTATCAATGAAACAAAAGAACTCATAAAGATCACTGAATCTAGTAACTGACAACAGAAGGACAGATTACAGAACAACTATGAAATGAGTATCACCTGGTTCTGTGCTGGCTTCCTTTGCCCCACTAAAGGTCTGCACAACAGGGGAGGGGGAACAAACTTCAGCTGGGGTGTCTGCATTGCCCTGAATCTCCTGGGCAGTGGAGGGATCCACACTCAACTCTTGTGCAACCGTCTGGATTGCCTCCTCCATCTCAGCTTTCACAGGCCCCCCTGGAGGGGTGGAAACCTCCAGAGAAGAATGAAGCTCTCCAGCATCCTCGGAGGAAAGGATTTCTACTTCGGGCTTCTCCGACTCCTTCTTGGATGACTCCAGGGATGGTGTGGAGGCATCCCTCACCACCTGACCCTGAACAGAGCAGTTTACAAGGCTAGTCAGAAGATTTTTACAACTGACAGCCACATCGAACATCTGCAGGCTGTCGGCTAAAGAGATGATTTTGGAGAAGTTGTGCTTGCCCACAGGTAGCTTGCCTGTGTACATCATTTCTAACAAGAGGGCAAACTCCTCAGGGCTCACGACAGAGGCGTCAATGGAGATGGTGTCTGTGTTGTCCAGCAGGGTTTTGAACAGCAGGCTGGCAGCGGCCAGGACAAGCTTGTGGGCCCTGAAGTAAATGGTACCAATGGAAATGGTGCAGTCACAGAACTGCTGCTCCTTGCACAGGGTGTAGAGCTGCTGCAGCAGCTGCCGGCTGTAGTTGGGGAGCTCCATCGCATCAGCTCTGCCCGAGGACTTCTCTTCCTCTCTTCTTTCAGAATCGCTTTGTGAGGATCAGTATTAGATCCTGGAGAAACCCCAAAAATGCCATGTTAATACTTCACAAGCACACAGGGGAATGCCCCAAATGAAATGTTAAAATGAACAAGCAATTCACTGGTTCATTCATTAAATGTTGCTGAACAGGAAGAGGCACTGTGCCAGGGAGACTAAATTACTAATAATGATAATAACCATCATGTGTTTAACTGCATGAAAGGGACTATGCTTAGTGTTTCTTCTGGATGCTCTCATTTGGTCTGCACAACCTCTCAATGGAAGAGATACTATATTCTCCCCATTTTACAGATGAGACTGAAGCTCAAAGGGACTGAGAGAACCAGCCTAAGGACAAACAGCCATTGAATGGCATTCCTGTTACTGATTTCAAGGCTGTAAATAACTACATCGCTATATGCATTCCTGCTCCCGAGTTCCCAGCCAACTGAAGGAGACATATATATAAACGGAGATTTATAATACAATGTCCTCATCTTACTCGGGCTCTCTGCAGCACTGCATGCAGGCCGTCATTCCCTCCCTCTTAGAGTGCATTTCTCACTTGCTCCTGTGCTCCTTGGGTCTCCTACTATCTCACCAGCCACGTGGTTTCCTTTGCTGGTCCTCTGCATCACTTTGGCCTCTAAAGTTTGCAGTGCTCCAAAACTGTCATCTCACTTCTTATCTTCCCTCTCACCTGATTCCATAGTTTTGAAATATCTAAATGCTGAAAGCTTTCAGATTTATATCTCCAGTTCAGACCTTTCCTCTGAACTCCAAATGCATACTTCTAACTACCTACTGAACATCTTCAACTGGAAGCCTGACAGGTTTCTTAAACTTAAATCCAAACTCTCCTGCCACCTTCCCCATTTCACAGCAATTCTGTCCTTTCCAGTTGTTCAGGCCAAAAACCCAGAAATTACCCTTGACTCCTGTTTTTTCTCATACTCCTTATCCAATTCTTTATAAATCCAATTGGCTCTACCTTCAAAGTCTATCCAAAATCCAATCACGTATCACCACTTCCACTGGCTCTACTCTGGTCAGCCCAAGCCACCATCACCTTTTATCTGGATGACTGCAGCAACCACCTAACTGGTCTCCAAGCCTCTGCCCCTTCCCAGCACTACCCCTACCCCACCCATCTGTAACCCAGCAGTCAGAGTGATCTTTTTAAAAAAACACATAGCCAGATACTGTCACTTTGCACAAAAGCCTCCATGGTTTCTGATCGCAGGGTAAAAGCCAAAGTCAAAATTCTTACACAGCCTGCCATTAGCTCTCAAACCTCATCTTCGGCTTCACCCCCTCTCACCCATTCTGCTGTAAGCACTGCACCTTCCTTGCTGATCCTGGAGCACACCAAGCACACTCACCACAGGTTTCTTCACATTTGTGTGTGGGGTTCACTCTCACTCCCGCCAGGGCTCTGCTCAAAAGGCCACATTATCAACATGATCCCTGATCATGTTCTTTACATAGCAGCCTCCCCTCCAACCCAGAACATTCCATCCCTCTCATTTCATTTTTCATCAGAGCCTATGGACATATATTTTTACTTATTTTGTATCTCCCTTCACTAGAATATAAACTCTATTAGGAAAGGAACTTTTTTTTTCTTTATCATCTGTTGTATCCCAGTGCCCCAAATTCTGCCTAGCACAAACATTGCTGGTTAGTTGCTGGAATGAATAAATGAATGGGAGGAAATGTAATGATAGAGATTTGTACCTAGAAGCCCAGTTTGGGGAGTAGGGGTATCCAAGGGTTAGATGAGTTCTGAGGAGGAGCTAACAGCTAACCTCCTTAACAAATGAGTAGGCATTAATGAGGTGGGAAGAATGGGAGAAAAGGCATTCCTGTGTGAGGCACATAGTTAAGAAAGTATCATGTAGTGACGGGAAAGAGGTTTAGGAGGGGGAATTATAAGAAGTTCCATGATACTGGAACATAAGAAAGGGGACAGGGAGTGTCAGGAGATGAATCTGGAGAGGTTCTGGCCACAGAGAGATCCACAGACCATGATCAGGAGCTTGGACTTATCCTAAAGGCAATGAGGAGTCAATGAAGGGTTTGAAGGACTTTAAGCAGGAAAGTCATATGGTCAGATACGCATTTTAAATATATCATCCAAGTGACATTTGTACAGAATTTAAAGGAGATAATGCTAGAGACAGGCTCTATTACCGCAGGAGTTCAGGGAAAAAATCAATGAGGGCTTTGACCAGGAGAAGTGGTAATAGAAGAGAGAAAGAAAACAGATAAAAATATTTAGAAAAGTGTAACTATCATGATTTAGGATCTAAATGGATGTGAGGGAAGTCAGAGACAGCTCTCAGGTTCCTGGTTTGGTGAGTGGGGGTCAATGAGGGCTTTGACCAGGAGAAGTGGTAATAGAAGAGAGAAAGAAAACAGATAAAAATATTTAGAAAAGTGTAACTATCATGATTTAGGATCTAAATGGATGTGAGGGAAGTCAGAGACAGCTCTCAGGTTCCTGGTTTGGTGAGTGGGGGTAGATGATGAAATGATACAGATAACACAAGAAAAAGATATTCGAGGGGAGGACATATCTCGTTCCATTTGGGTTTGAGGATCTTATGATGATAGCAAAACTGTATAATCTCATTTGTATAAATTTAAAAAAAAACACTAAGGATGGAAAGACATGTATCAAAATAATACTGCTTGCCGTCGTCAGAAGGATTATGATTCCCTATCCACTCCACCACTTCTTTATTTCCCCAGATTTGAAACTGACAAATAAAAATAAAAATGAAAATATTTCCAAGTTCTGGTTTCCAGGTTTCTGGTCTGGTATGCAAAGAGCTTAAAAAGGAAAATGGGAAAATCAACAACCCTTCTGAGATCTGTCAGAGGAGTGAGGTCACAGGGCAAAACTGCTGCCCCCCAAACTGGAGAGACAGGCAGATACAGAGAATCACAACTGCTCAAGCAGAAACCCACCAACAGAAACGCACAGAAACCAGGGCCAGAAGAGGAGAACTAAACTTAAGCTGATGAACTGCTGGAGGCTCAGGGTGGACAAATCTGAGTGTTAAAAACTCCAGAGGGACTGAGTCATAATTTTGTGAGTTTTACCTCCAGGAGCTCTACTGGGTTCTTGCAGTGAACACTGAAGAAAAATTCCTCTCTGCTTCTGGCAGGTGAAAGGAGAAAGTAACTATTTTTAAATATGACAGAACATTCTGTTTTTCTCAACAAGGACTAGAATCAGAAGAAACTATTCTACCAGAGTCTAACCTAATTGGAGGAAGGGAGGGAAATACCCTATTTCAGCTCACCATAGCCATCCTGCCATCCTGTACCACTTGCAGGGGGGTGCAGGGAGGGGGACTGAAAAGCATTGGTGAAGTTCACAGGCCAGGAGCACAGACTTACCAAAAGACTGAGACCTAATAATAGGTCTATAAAACACTTCCTTCCTCCACACCTTACCGTCCCATCACTACAGGCATATTTACCACAGTTCCTTTTACCCAGTATTTTATGTCTACCTTTCAAAAGAGAAAGAACAAGGCATACTAAAAGACAAAAACACTTTGAAGAGATGGAATAAGCATCGGAACCACAGTCAGATATGCCAGGAATTATTAGACCAGGAATTTTTAAAAACCATAATTAATATGATAAGGGATTTAATGGAAAAAGTAGACAACATACAGGAACAGATGGCAATGTAAGCAGAGAATGAAAAAGAAAAGCTGGGGCAAAAACCACTGTAACAGAAACAAAGAATGCCTTTGATGTACTCATTAGTAGACCGGATATGGCTGAATAAAGAATCTCTGAGCTTGAGGATATGACAATAAGAAACTTACAAAATTGAAAATCAAAGTGAAAAAGGTCTGAAAAAAACAGAACAGAATACCCAAGGACTGTGAGACAATTACAAAAGGTAAAACATATGTGCAATGGGAATATTTGAAGGAGAAGAAAGAAAAAAAATAGAAGCAATATGTGAAACAATAATTACTAAGAGCTTCCCCACAGATGCAGAACTGTAGACATGGAGGGCCCACTGTAAAGTTACATGCAGATTTTTGACTGTGTCAGGGGTCAGTGGATAACCCCTGCATTGTTCAAGGGTCGGTCAATTCTATATGCTTATGGGTAAGTGAAATGAATGACAGCAATGATACAGTGGACAGAAGAAGAGAAGAATTAGGATTATTTTATTATTATAAGTACTTGCACTTGTGAAGTGGTACAGTATCTTTTGAAAGTGGATGTGGATTAGTTGTAAATGTACTGTGAACTATAGGACACTACAAAAAAAATGTAAAAAGAAATATAACTGATATGGTTAAAAAGAAGTGAAAATGGAATCATGCCAAATGCTTAGTTAAAACCACAAAAGAATGAGATTTCCGGTCAAGATGGCAGAGTGGTAGGACCATGAGCTTGCCTCTCCTTGAGACTACAAGGAAACCACAACTGAATGCTAAACAACCATTGAAAA